TATCTTCCAAAAAAATCGAGTGTTTTTAACAAAAAATATTAGTGATATGGATATATAATTATTACAGGTAAATAATTTTTGCTTCTCAATTTTATATAAAACCTTTTTAGTTAAGTCTTATTACTATCTATCCGGTACATAATCCATTCCTTTATAACAAAATTTTTTCTAATTAATCTGTATTGACCATTGTTAATTAATGTTAATCAGTATTTTAAAAACATTGTATTTGACAGAATAAACCTGATGATGGAACGTACCTAGTTCCGAAACGTCGTATTAAACATCTTCAAAAAACAAATGGTTTTTTTTTTTTATTATTGGATTTACTGTTCGGAAAAGAAACAATCAATATATATATATATATATATATATATATATATATATATATATAAATACAACAACTTTCACTACTTTGTCCCTACTACTGTGACAATATTTATAATTGAAGCATTCGCGTCGTCGCCGCGTGAAAATTCATAAATAATTGATTTTATATACAAACATACACACACATGTATACATATATGTATGTATTTATGTATACATATATGTCGATGTGTGTAAATATAAATATGAATCTATACTATACGAAAGGGCGTTCACATATGTTCGCACATGTCGGTACATGCTTTTATTTTGTAGCCGCACTCGCTTGAACAAATATGTACCTACATTAATATCGGATAAGTACACTGAGGGCTGAGGGCTGAGGGCTGTTTATTAGTTTTAGGGAAAAAGATTTGTTTCCACTAAATACACATACATTCATATATATATATATATATTAATTTAGAAATATGAACACTTTTTTGCACTAATTTACTAAATTATCATTATGTATTATCCGTTACAAGTCGTTCATTATACTGATGTATAATTTCTTGCTATAATTTATTCCTATCTCTCATAAAATAACTACAGTGGTTCAATTTGTTTACAAATCCTAAGCCCATTGTTACAACACCAGAAATAAACTAGCTCAAAAAATGCACTAATACGTTTACTTGATTATAACATCACATAAGCATTTAGAGTATTTTTTTAATTAAAAAATTAATAAACTACAAATGTCCCATTCATAACCGGTAGGCTAAAAATGCACTCAAACTGAAACTAGGCTTTGTTTCAGGTTAGTGTGCGATAGGCCGTACCGATTACATTCGGAACTTACATTATTTAGATAGATAATAAATTATTAGTATTTTTAACTTCCCGAAGGAGAAGTTTGTTTTCATCAAAAAATCCGATTCGAGCCACTCTGAATCGAATGAGACCGAATTTGGAAAAGTATGTGTGTGTGTATGTGAACAGATTTTTTGCCGTAAATCGACGTTTTCTCAAAAACGGTATTTCCATGAGGACTAGCGTTTCTGAGTCATGTGCGACGATCGGCCAAGCAGTTTCTTTGTAAATTGCAGAAAAGTGAAAAAAGTTTTGTCCACGTTTCAACCCGCAATTCTTAATCGATTTTGAAAATTCAAAAACCGTTCGAAAGATATTGGTTGGGAATCGTGCTGATTAGTTTTTGGTAAAGATCGGCCGGGCCGTTTTCTTGTAATAAAGTTTTAAAAAAAAATTCGACGTGTTTTAACATTTTTTTGACGGTAGATACCATAGTCTTATAGATCATACTAAAATTATACGGCCCTACGACAATGGATTTAACTTTGTCAAAATTAGACCTTTCATCGACGTTTGTTTCAAAAACGCCTGAACCGATTTCAAAAATTTAAAAACCATTTGATGTATCTCGATGAGGATTATCGTTTCTCAGTTTTGTGCGACGATCGGCCGAACCGTTTCTTTGTAATTTAGAAAAAAGTGTTAAACTTTTCGTCCACATTTAAGCTTATACTACCGAATTGATTTTGAAAAATCAAAAACTGTTCGAAAGATAATATTTGGGAATGATACTGATGAGTTTTAGATAAAAATCTACCGAGCTGTTTTCTTGTAATTGACTGTTGAAAAAATTTAAGCCGATTTTGATGAGAACTTTTTTTGGCGATATATATCATGGTCTTATAAACTGAAATATTACGGCTTACGACAAGTAGTTTAATTTTAAAAATTTCATCAAAGTTTGAGAAAATGAGTATTTTTTTTGACGTTTGTTAAAATTAAAATTAAACGATTTACTTGGTATAACGGTCTTAATGAACATACTAAACCATTAAAGTCCTACGGAAACTGGTTTTAAATATAAAAATTGTTGAAGTATATGCAATTTAATTAATTTATTATCATTATCGAGTATATTTAGTACTTTTTACCAAAAAAACTTATGAGTAAGAAAGACCAAAACTCATAAAAGATCATATTACATTATTATAATAAACTGTATTGTCCGATGTGTTAAATTAGTCATAATCTCCAATGTTTAAAAAAATAATTTTCTACACTAATTTAAGATCGAATACTTTGTCGAGATAAATAATAAGTTACTATAATTGTTGAGTATTGTTATTTAAAACAATGTGATGCTTCTATAGTATTTTCAAACTTCGAAACGTTTTCGAAAAATAATATTTTATACTTGTAATAAGAAGCAAAATATTAAGTAATTATCATAATTATTATGTATAAAGTTAGAAAAAAATAGATTACGCAGAGGTAGTCTGTATGATATAAATATTTGGCGCAAATGTCACTTAAAAAACCTTTGCATTTTTACATAAGATGAAACAAACATCATTATCTATCAGTTGAATTCTATTTATTGTAACACGATATGAAGCCTTTGGAAAGTAATAAATATCAGTTTAATGCCGAGTTGAGATAATATATGACATTTGTTTATCCTATAGAATCACTTGAAGATATAGCTGTTTATGCGATTATGGAATTTAAAGATAGATTTGTTCCGAGAAATTTAAACTTTGGGGTATTATGTATCAAATAGCGCTTATGTGAAAATACCGAAAATACCGGTATTTTTGGGGTAAATACCGGTAAAAATACCGCCGAAAAATTTGGCGTTTTACAGGTAATTCGGTATACCGGTATACCGGTATTGCATTCCCTAGTGAAAATGATGCATGAATAACGAATAATTATTTTCAAAGTTATTTAATCAAGATAAACTATTATTTTTTAGTTCTACTAATTAAAATTAAAATAATTTTGTTTACTATCTGTAAAATTGAACAATAAATAAATACAATCAAATAATGCTCTAAAATACACTAAATTTGCGGATAAATTACAGAATATTCGAGCAAAAATTCATTTTCTATATAAAATTGGAAAATCGGTTAAAACCGTTTTTTTTCGTAAAATGAAAATTCGAAAACCAGTTTTCTGACATGTCGGTTTTTGTATAAACCCTTGAATTGTCCTGGGCTGTTGATAGTGTATTTGGATGTATGTTCCGTATCACCAGTACGACCAGGAATTGTAATGGTAGGCTGGACCCGAGCGGTGAACAGTTGAATAGTTGTTTAAGTATTATATTTGTGATGTGGACTCTCCAGAGTCCACTGGTAGTGTGAAAGGCCTTTAGGACGAACAGCGATTTGATAGTAAATTGTAAACACACTTCTTTCTTCGAATGATACTTTATTATTCACTATTTTGACAATTAATATTTGTTGATAACCTTTTGGTTATCATATCAGCAAAGACTACATTTTACTGCATACTATGTCTGGCTCCAAGCTTGACTGCCTGTCTAACTTTTGTCTAACTCTTGTATACTAATTTATTGTTTACAACATATTTACAAAATCCAACAGTAAGCACTTCCGATGACCGCGTAACCTACATATAACTAGCAACGCGTTTTGTAATTATTAAACACAATAATGAATGAATTGTTGTTACAGTTCAATATATAATTAGTGCAGTAAACGGAGAGGAAAAAAGGGTATAACCTCTGAATTTTTTTACTGTGCTCCGAATTTCATGAAATTTTGGAATTAGGTTCATCTTACCCTCAAATTCAAAAGTGAAAACAATTCGGGTTGCGCCATCACCCCCCGGGGGGATGACCCCCCTTCTCAATTGTGTAATTACATTTTTTTAAAATAACGTCGGAAATCGATAGAAGAGCTAATTATAATAAAAAAATGTCTCCTATAGTTTTTCAAAAAAACTAATACTTTTCAAGTTACTGGCCACTAAAGATTCATATATTTTTGGCGTTTTTCTTCGTCTTTTTGCAAATATCTCCTAAATTATACATTTTAACGAAATTCATGTAATGAACAAAATAATGTCAATAAAAATCTTAATAAATCGGTATTACATAAAGTGTTCTAGGAAAAATATTAAGCAAGATTTGAAAGAGCAAAGTCGTTTTTTATTTCGTTCAAGATTTAATTGTTGTATTTAAAGCCATTTAGTGTCGAGGTTTTACATTTTATGCATTTCGGTTAAATTGGGTTTTATAGTGCTCAACATAAGCTTTAAAATGAGTGCTGTTACAAATTTTTTGCGTGTAAAATGAGTGAGCTATCATGCAAATAAGAAGGCATATACGAAGTTTTTTTCTTTTAAATCATATGGTTTAACGAGCGCCATTTCCACCAGAATGAAAGTAATTCACATTCCATCTACAATTCACTTCATTATAGACATCTTGATGGATTCTAGTAGATTCACTACTTTAGTACAAACTATTTTCAGAAAACTCGCGATTTTATAAAAACTTTTTTTTCCAATTTGCGCGGTCGCGCAGTCTTTAAACATTCATAACTCTGTCAATTTTTGTGTGAAAGAAAAATAATAAAAAACAATAATAAGCCAGAAAGATTCCTTTGATTTTTATCTATAAGCTTTTATACGTATCTTTTATTCTTTTTGAGATATAATGAAAATAATTTCGATTTTTAAAAAAATTGAATTTTTCACTTTTGAATTTGAGGGTAAGATGAACCTAATTCCAAAATTTCATGAAATTCGGAGCACAGTAAAAAAATTCAGACCTAAAACGCTCCGTTTACTGCACTAAATATCAATATTTGATCTCTAACCCAAAATCCTCTTCTCCTTTCAAGGGCGACATCTTCTCCGGCCTCAACGACGGTCTCCTCAGTCGGGCTGAGGCGCTCGCGGCCGTCGACATCGGCAAGCACCACGGCGTCGGTGTCGGTGTCGGCGTCGGCGTCGGCGTCGCCGGTCAGTCGCCGCAACTGAAGCACGACATCATGGCAGCGGCCGCCTATCATCACAACAGCGCCGTTGCTGCGAGGTCTCACCATCAGGTAAGGGATGATAATGGAGACACTACTAGTGTTAGAACAAAATATCGAGTACTGAGTAAATATCGATACTTTGCTATCGATATCTAATAGAGAGTACTTTTGCTATCGATTTTTTGGCTCGATCTATTTTCCAATATCGATTCTTTTCGTCGATAGTACTCAAAAAGAATCGACAGCGTAATCTATGAACCCCCACTCATCGACCAACTATGAACACTACTCATTGCAAATGCAATACAATAGTCTCTCTAAGGTGGTCGTAACTGTTTAAAGAAGTGTCAAAAAATCATCCCGAAGGGTCATTAGTCTCAGAATTTATTGCTCAAAAACCCAAAATGAATATGACCATACTAATAAATAAAGATAAAATATTGAGATAGTATTCGATATTGAGTACTATCGATACTTTCGCCACGATATTTTTTTGGCATCGATATTTTGATTAGATACTTTTCAAAGTACGATTTTTTGCCTCGATACTTCTAACACTACACACTAGTAGAAGTTACTTGCTACATAACTTCTTTATTAATCGACATATTCATTATAATGTAGTAATTTAAATCACAAACTAGTGGGGTGGGTGGCATCGTGCTTCAAGGCAAATTGCTGGAACTTCCCGTTTCGTAACGAAATGTTCGAGAAATTTTAAACGTTTTCAAATATATTATTACAAATACTGTAACTTGCATTAGTTTTGCTATCTTGTTTGTTATATCTGAGCAAATCAAATGTAAATCATAAATCAATCAATTGATCTCCAGAACATTAGCAATCGTTATTTAATCTCGAATTCAATTTTAACAAAAAAAAATAGTTGCCTAATTTGCACAAAATTGAAAAAGTGCTCCCGTATAGTCACAGTCTAAACGCATTTGCGAATAAATCTGTTCGGCATTTTCACTTATACTGCGCTTAGCTTGGCGGCATTTTCACATTTTCACATTTTCACATTTTTCAATAGTTTTCACAAAATTGGAAAAGTGCTCCAGTACATAAACAGTCTGAACGCGCTTGGGTAAACATTTGTACCAAAGTGGCGCTTAGACTGTGCTTAGCCTGGATGATTTTTTGATTATTGAATCCAAAATTATAAAAATATTATGAAAAATGAAAAAAAAATGTAATAATTTTTTATCCTCAAAAGCAATTGTTTTGTCAATACAAGCAAAAACCTTTTTAGATCATTCAAATCGGACGCTTAGTTCACTCAAAAACTGCCATTTTTTGCACATTTGGCTCTGTATCTTTGGAATGGCTTGGCCTACCTTTGCCAAAAACTAACCACTTATTCTACCAATAATTAAAAATTGAATGTTTTTTAGATCATTCAAATCCGATACTCCGTTTAGAGTATATAACGTTTTATAACTCAATGTAAAAAAAGTGAAATTTAAAGTTTAGTATCAAGTTATTAGCCATTGTTAGATTTCATCGGTTACATTTATTTATAGTTATAATAAAATAAATACATACAAATATTAATAGTGAATTTATACCAAATTAGATACTTTACCAATTTTTCTAATAAAATAATTCGGAATAGTCTTTATTCGTCTAATTTTATTCATCCGAAGCACATTTATCCATTACATATTGAATAACTTTTAAAATATTTGTTAAAAATAAATGATGTATTAGGAAAATTTGTATAAAATTAAATTCTAAATGATATTGTCTAACATAGTAAAACCCTATAGCTTCTCAGTATACTTTAAAAACTCTAGCAAAAACATAAAGAGTACGTTTATTTAGTATTTCTTTCAAGAACTCGATTTGTATTTTCTGCACTCTTTGCTCTGTATCTCCGTAACGGCTGGACCTGCTTTTGCCAAAAACTAATCAGCACATCTCCCTATCAAAAGGGATCGAATTTTTTTCAACCATTCAAATCGGTTGATCCGTGCGCCCGAAAACGTGGACAAAAAAATGCGAACATACAAACACACACACATCCATTAGTTTTCTGAGGTATGTCAAAATGTTCAGAAATCTTCCAAACGTCGGGAAATGCAAACATTTTCATTTTCGATTTTCGGCTCATTATTATAATTAAAAAAAGTTAAATCTTTATTATGTAAAAGCGCCAGCAAGGGTTCAGGGTTAATGACAGAACCTTTGTGGGTCAAATTTCTAAATGTCTAAATTTCTAAAGAGTTGTTCTTTACATTTAAATGTTAGTTATGCATATACGTTACGTAATATAAATGGCCAAGTGACAAAAATAAAAATTCATTAATGGGGTTTTTTTGTCTATAATTTCTAATTATAATTCAAAATTTCGGGGGGTGAATATAATAGATATTATTCGGATTTAAATATTTTAAAAACAGTTTATTTGTCGACAAAGGGTTCAAGATTTAGAGATAAACCTTTCTGGATCCAATTTCGAAACAAAAAATATGTAATTTGTAATATTTGACGGTTAAAAATAATGGATAGGATTAACCAACCCGTTTTAAAATAAAAATTTCGAATGAAATTTATAAAACAGTCTAAAAACTTGGTTGTAGGTTTTACTTATTCTAAGAGAAAAAATCCTGAAATGTATCCTTCGTCCCATTGAGATTTGTATTACACAGGATAGAATATATACATATATATATATATATATATATATATATATATATATATATATATATACATAATATGTGTATCTATACTGGCAGCACCCTTATTTATCCATATACGAAATATATTTGCTGGTGCATTATTTACGAGCATGTAGCGTGTAAAGCAAAGCATGTAGCATAAAATACATTTATACAAATATATATATATATATATATATATATAAATCCATATAAAACAGATCATATGCGTCCGTCCGACTGAACATGAGCAAAGCCCCATATGTTCCAGATTTCACGACGAATTGAACGATTTCATACACATATGGAGAAAAAGGCAAAAAGGCAAAAAAGCAAAAAATTGACTAGGTGTAAGTGGCATTTTGCCTTGAGGCAAGTAGCACAAACTTTCTGAGATAAGCACAGTCTAAGCGCCACCCTGGTACAAATGTTTAGCCAAGTGCGTTTAGACTGTTTATGTATTGGAGTACTTTCCAATTTTGTGAGAAAACTATTGAAAAATGTGAACATGCCGCCAAGCTAAGCGCAGTATAAGTGAAAATGTCGTACAAAACTATTTGCAAATGCGTTTAGACTGTGACTATACGGGAGCACTTTTTCAATTTTGTGTAAATTAGGCAACTATTTTTTTTATATTGAATTCGAAATGTAATGACGATTGTTAATGTTCTGGAGATAAATTGATTTATGATTTATATTTGATTTGCTCAGATATAACGAGATAGCAAAAATAATTAACCTTATAGTATTTGTTATTAACGTTTAAAATTTCTCGAATATTTCATTACGGTACGGGAAGTTCCAGCAATTTGCCTTGAGGCACGAAGCCATACACCACTAGTTATTTTTTTCTATTCATCGCAAACTGATTTTACATCAAGGACATCCATTACAATTTTTCATTTTTGCTGCTGAAATTTTCTGAAATTCGATTCACAAAGGACAAAAGACCCTTAATCTTGAACCCCTTGGGCATTCATATGTTTCACATTATCGTTTTTCGGGTATAACATTAAATACTAAATCTACTAAATCTCTTTCTGGATCATAATAAAAGTCTCGTAACAGTTGTCTGGTATTAATTTCGGATAATTTTATATATATATATATATATATATATATATATATATATATATATATATATATATATATATGTATATATTATATGGGGTGGGTTTTGTAAAATAAATCTATTGTGCTTTTCCGGTTATTATCTGGGCTTATGCGCATTATAAGCCGTGTCGTCGCCTCCCCGACCATTAACTCTAATTCTCATCCCCTTGAATTTTTGAAAATTTTTTGGACAATGCGAATATTATATACTGATATAGAGGTAGTTTGTAAAATATATAACAATTATATAATCATAGTTAGTTACGAATTAAAATTGACAACAGTTAACTATCAAAATTCACTCTCGTGGTTTCTATATAATAATATATAATAAAACACAACAAAATTTGCAACTAGTGGTGTATGGCATCGTGCCTTAAGGCAAATTGCTGGAACTTCCCGTACCGTAATGAAATATTCGAGAAATTTCAAACGTTTTCAAATATATATATATAAACAAATACTGTAATTAACTTCCCGTAGGGCAAGTTATAGTAATCGCAAAAAAATCGAAAATGAAAATTTGTATATATCTTTACGTTTCAAAGGTTTCTGAACATTTTGGCATACCTTAGACAAAATGGATGTATGTGTGTGTGTGTGTGTGTGTGTGTGTATGTGTGTATGTATGTATGTATGTGCGTGTGTGTATGTATGTGCGGATACAAATTTTCGTCGACGATTTCGGGAACACGGATCAACCGATTTGAATAATTCAAAAAACATTCGATTCGTATTGATAAGGAGACGTGCAGATTTGTTTTTGGCGAAGGCAGATCTAGCCGTTCCGAAGATACGGGGCAAAAAGTGCCGAAAACGGTAACTCAGTTTTTAAGAGAACGGAGCGTCAGATTTGAATAATTCAAAAAACATTTCACTTGTATTGACAAGATGAAAAATCGATAAAATTTTCATGAAGGTAGGTCTAACAGTTTCGGAGATATGGAGGAAAAAGTTAAAAAATGAGCCATTTGGCGGTCAAAAATGATCATTAGACATATGCACATCAAATTATCAGATATTTTATAGAGATTTTAACAAAAGTATACATTTTGTTAACATTTCTATGGGTTCCGTACCAATGCTTATGCGTTAGACAGCGACGCGGCGCTTACGCGCTTTATATTTTGTCCCTATGCAGTTAAAGCGGTACGATTGCTTTGAAAAAAAGTTCAGATCTTCTACAATATGTCAAAATAAAGAAAAAAAAAATTTTTTTCAAAAAAAAAAATTAAAAAAAAAGTTTTTTTAAAAAAAATATTTTTTTCAAAAAAAAGTTATTTTTTGTCCAATTTA